TAAACTTTCAATTCTTACCAAAAAACTTCAAGTACTAATGGATCTGCCAGAAGTCACAGAGGGAACCACCTAGAGCTGTTTTAGAAGAAGTGGTAAATGGACTTCCTTCTATCTTAACTTGAATTAAGGGGAAGAGACTGCTACTTAATGCTGAGGTAATCCCTATGGGCAGGTGTTGAAACAGGTCAGGAGTGAGGAGAACATAAGTAGGGCTGGCTTCCCAGGGCAGGGGCATTTAGAACTGGGTTTGGATAGATTGCATCAGGGTTGGAGAAGAGAAGAGGGAAAGGTCTGGATAATGAACACTGAAAAGAAATGACCCACTAGAAGCTGATCGCCAAATAAGAAGCTGGCTTCTGTCATATGTCCTACTCTCCTCACCTTGCTTTACTCTCTAGAACAATGAATTCTGGTCCTGCTCATCATCTGAGCTAAGATAGCCTGCCTTTTCCTGCAGAGAGAACTGGCTCTCTGTTCTCTTTGTAGGACACCATAAAATTTGTCCTCAGATCTTAGGTTTTGGTTTCAGGTTCAGTGTTCAAAAGGTTTATTTTTCCCGCTCAAGAGCTGAACCTGCACCTCGGACATGCTAACACCAGATGGTGGTGCCTCAGCAATTGAGGACTCAGTCTACCAGGAAAAAAATTTGTTTCTTTTTTCTTATTACTCAATAAAAAGCAATTGGGGGAAGGGCCAAAATGCAGGGGTCTGGGTACAGGGATTTGACTTGATCCAAGAGTAAAATTTTAAGTAACCAGAGGAATGGGTGAAGTTTACATATATATATATATATATATATATATACACACTATATACCCTCTAACAAAAGCCCATAAGTATCATTTCTTGCAGTGAAACTCCGATGGTGAACATCAGGGAATTTGAGGTAACCTTTTCTGTTTGTGTTGCAGATTTCTATCAAGGCAACTGAATACACTACATTATAAGATGTGATATTTAATGTCAACTATATAAAGTTCAAGTTTGAAGAAACTAACTTTTTACAATTTGATATTGTTCTAATTTCTAATTGTTACCAATAATGGATTAAACAAACTCTGGCCTTATGCTTCAATCTGTTTGGAACCCCTCTCTAAGTCATCCTGAACTCTTTTCAGTGGCTTCAGAACTTCAGCATTGTCTGGTTTTAAGACCCCTCCAGCTTTCTCTCAGCCATGTGCAGAACTCTAGGAGGAGTTATAAGAAACTTACGTAGACCTTAACATGCTATGAAGGTGCTGGTGGACTTGGGAAGAGATTTTTTTTCTTTTTTCTGTATGTCTTCACAGCTTGAGGAAGTGAGATTTCCCAGGGAAGATCTGGGTTCTCTTGTACTATCAAGACAGTGGAAACAGGGACTTCCCTGGCAGTCCAGTGGTTAAGAGACTCTGCCGGGGGTGTCGGTTAGATCTCTGATTAGGGAACTAAGATCCTACATGCCACCCAGTATGGTAAAAAAAAAAAAAAAGACAGTGGAAACAGGCTTGTGATAGGGTTTCTTGGTAGAATAAACATGTGGATGTAGCAGAGCTTTCTTGGTCTTTCAAGCTAGCCTGCACTGAAATCAGCCATGAGTTTCTGTCCTGTGAGTGTCAACTGTACAAAAACAAAGAAAATTCAAATTATAAGAAAGAACTAATCAAAACAAGTGCTCATTATTAAAACAGTTGTTGGTAGAGTGGGTAAATGGGCTAATTTAAACCTAGTCAGTAGAGAAGGTTTTGTGATTCCTTCTTGTTGCTGTTGCTTAGTTGCCGGGGTCTGGCCTCGGCAGGATCTAGGGGATACCCTCAGGATGAACGGCGTTGGTGAGAGAGAGAGAGGACACATGAGAGCAGCCTTGATAGGGCCAAGTCTGCAAGGGAGAGAGAGAGAAAAAGAGAGAGAGAGAGAGAGAGAGAGAATGACCAGACGGGGGTGTTTGTAGGGTTTGGCAGAGTCTGGCAGAGTCTGGCAATGCTTTATTTTTTACCATGGATTTTATACCCTAAATTAGTACATTTCTAAGGGGAAGATAGTTTAACATTACATCAGCTTGTTCTTCACGAAACCAGGGTGTTTTCTGCATACTTCTTTGTTTATGAGGGTCTTGTACATTATCTTCTGGCCTTGGGGTCTATTAACATTTTATGCAAGTCAGCTGAATGTAAACCTATTTTCTGTTTCTATGGTGACCTTAACTGAAAGGTAGCAGTCTCATAGGGCAACAGTACAGAGTAGAAGTATAATCTTGTTAACATAAAAATCAATCCTTCTGCAGAAGTTGTCAGTTGCGTTTATCTAAGAAGTTTACCCCAGACTGACTCTGCGACTTTGGTGAGGCAGCCTCTGCCTAGCACTCCTGGCTGACAATTAACAACCATCTCATTGTTACCACACTAGGGCTAAGCTCTTATTTCTCTAGATCTTTAACTATATTAACAATGGTTTCTATAACACAACCTTAGCACATTAAAAGCAAAAACACAGCAAGCAAAACACAGCAAGCAAATGTTAACCCAATAGCTACTTTTAGAATAATTTTTCTTGTGTTTTCTAATAGGGCTTCCTTACCCCCCGAAAGGCTCTATGTCTGTTAGGGCCTTTATATGATCAGGTTTTTTATGTTATTTTATGATTAGGGTATTATAAGCAATCATGCATATTAGTACCAAGGGCATAAATGCATTTGGCTAACAAACTACCAGCAAAGGAGTTTAAATTAAAACACTCCTTTCACCTTGGATAATCTCATAAAATACCACCACCTTATTGAAACTTATTGATTCACGTTCTAAATTGATTCTTATTTGGGAAGAGATCGGGGAAGGCCTTCTGCCTGTGTCACAGAAATTAGGGAGTAGTCTATTGAGGCAGGCATCAGAAAGGCAGATATCATCTTTAAGGTGAGCGCCGGGGGCAGCTTTTCGAAACCCCTGAAAACCTGATCTGCCTTGCCTGTCAGATTTTCTCCCTCATGACCTTGTCATGGGTAGGGTCTCGTGTGTTGGCTCCCAGCACTTAGTAGCTAAGTTGTATCTGGCTCTTTTGTGACCCCATGGACTATATCCTGCCAGGCTCCTCTGTCCATGGAATTCTCTAGGCAAGAACACTGGAGTGGGTAGCCATTTCTGTTTCCAGGGGATCTTCCTGACCCAGGGATTGAACTTGCATCTCCTGTATTGACAGGTGGATTCTTTACCCCTGAGCCACCTTATTCCTTAGGGAAATCTTTATGAAGGAGATTAAATTTGAGTTGAAATTTCCGAGGAGGACAGAAATTTCAGATTAATAGAAAGAAGGACATTTTTATATGTTCGTAAAGTTTACTGGGACCTTACTAAGAGGTAGGTAGAATAATGGTTCCCCCTAAATGTCCACAATCTAATCCTTAGAACTGTAAATATATTACCTTACATGACAAAAGGGATATTGCAGTTATGACTAATGTTAAGACCTTGAGATAGAAGATTCTCCAGAATTATAGTTGTGTCAAACCTAATGCCACGGGTCCTTAAAAGCAGAAAATCTTTTCTGGTCTAGGTCAGAGTCAGAGGCAAATATGACTATAGAAAAATGGTCAGAGAGATGCAAAATTTCTGACTGGAAAGACTGAGGAAGGGGGCCATAAGCCACAGAATGTGGGTGGCCCCTGGAAGCTGAAATACATAAGGAAATAAATTCTGCCCTAGTGCCTCGGGAAAGAACACTGTTGTGCTGACACCTTATTTTTAGCCCAGTGAGACCTGTATTGGACTTCTAGCCTTCAGAACTACAATAAATTTGAATTGTTTTAAGCTAAGTTTGTGATAATTTGTAACAGCAGTCATAGAAAGCTAACACAACATGGGACAGCAAAATGAGGTAGACACTACCATGGTCATTTTCAGATGGAGAAACTTAACTATAAAGGGACTAGGTTCTGACACAATGTCACCCAGCTGTCGAGTGAAAGACTAGGGGATTAAATTGAGCACACCCGTCTTCAGAAGTCATGCTTTTAACTGTTAGGCGGGATTTTTGTGGGAGAAGGATGGAAGTAGTAAAAGCTTCCAGAAAAAGCTCACTGGAGTGAATTACACAGCTGTATTACAAAGAGCTTGGTTGACTCAAAGGGACATGCTGGGCCATGGATTAATGGAGACCAGAAAATAGTTGTCTCTCAGGGCTAGGTTATGTACTCTCTTTCTGATTAATCTTCCTCGGTCGCTGATTTGATCATGACAAACTGGTTTACTCAGCAGTCTCATAAACAAGACTCTTCCAAGCACCTGCCTGTCCTTCCCATCTCTCTGAAGCCCACTTCTCTCAAGGGCTTCCCCACCTCATCCCAGCCACAGCAACTTGGGGGCACTTAGGTTCAAGGACTTTGGCATGAAATCACACACTGCACTGGGTCTCTCTTGTATCTTTACCATAAAATGTCTTCGTTTTACGTCATTTACTGTTTCTGGCGCTTATAATTTATTTCCAAGTAGACTGGCCTCTGTGAACTTTCGGCAGGCAGGAACAGGAATCCACTCAGAGCGGTCGTCCGTTTTCGCCAGCTGGGTTCATCTTGGTTCATTCCTAAATCTTATTCCCACACATCATTTTGCTTTTCTTGAGTTTTCCTTTCTCTGACTCTCCACCACCCATGCCTCCTCGTTAAACATTCCCGTAGCCTCTATTGTCGACATCCCTCATTACGAAAGAATCCCAAGTGCTAGTACAGGGTCTGCACACAGAATACAGGGATCTATGCGTTTAAAGCAGGGTCAATTACTAGACAGCAACTAGGGGCCAGTGCCGGGCGAGAGTTGGAGGTGACCGGTTTCCACTCCGCACAGCGGCCGGCAGCACCTGGGGCTCCCCCAGGTGTGGGGACAGTGACCCGGTCGCGCGCCCGTGCGCGGCCTTCCAAGCGCCCCAGTGCCGTCCGCCCCGCCCCTTTCCCCGCTCGCCCCGCCCCTTTCCCCGCCTCCTCGCGCTCGCGGCACAGGTTGCTCGCCCCCGCGATCCGCGCGGCGCCGCGCCTCGCCGGCTCCTCAGCTTCCAGCCAAGATGGCGGAGAGCGGCGAAGGTCCGGGCACCGTCCCAGAGCACGAGCGGATCTTGCAGGAGATCCAGAGCACAGACACCGCCTGCGTGGGGCCCACTCTCCGGTAAAGCTCTCATCCTCTCGGGATCTCTGGCTGCCCCCTCCGGCCGCTCATCAGGAAGCGGGCGGGTCTTCCGCCGTCGGCCGCGCGCGAAGCGGCCCGACAGGTGGTGCGCGAGGAGGCGGACGGCCCGGCGGGGGCCGAGGCGCAGCGGGCCAGGACCTGAGCCGGGACCGGGGCGGGGCGTCACGGGCGACTGCACCTGTCCGCGCGGCCCGCCTCAGCCGCGGGAGCTGTCACTGCGCAGCTGGAGGGTGTGGCTGCCTCGGTGCTTGTGACCCCGGGAGTCGAGGCACCGCCCCGTTTTCGACGCCCCGCCCTGCCCCAGTCCGGGCCTGGGGTCTCGAGAACGCGCCCTGGGTCTTCCCGGCTCGCGCGACGCTCCGGGGTTGAGGGCGGCTCCGCCTTGGGCGTGCCGGAGACGAAGGTGAACTGCGGGCAGACGGCGGGACTGAGGTGCCGACTCGCGCGCAGGTGGAAACGCTGGCGCGCTGGGCTGCTGCGGGCGTGGGAGAATTGAAATTGAGCGGGAGTCGCCGGCACCATTCTCTCTACTCCCGCGCCGCCAGAGTGGGCGAGGAGGGAGCGTGGGCGGGAGGGGAGGAGCTGACGCTCAGGAACGCGCTGGTGTGACTGATCGTGACCGTGCGCTTGCCCGGCCAGCCTCTCTGGAGTCTGGGAAGCTTTAATATACTTACGAATGTTTAATTTTGCATGCATTTCCCCATTTATTTTAAAAAGAATCTCCACCGTTTAAAAATAGTATAAGAACAATGAATATTCCAGACTGAGTATCTGTTGCCCTAGTAAATCCAGACACTAATGATCCATTAGAATGTTAGCCACTTTCTACAAGAATGAGTGCCCTTTAAATATAAGACTTCGTTTTTCGGTGTGATAATAATGAAATTATTATTCACTTAGGGAACTTGGAACTCACTGTGCTTTTGTCGTTATTATGTGGATCTGTGGTTGTAGTACAAAGTGAAACCAGTTATGGTGTAAATCCACCTTGCCCTTAGAGTAGGTAGAATTGGATTCTTGGTTTATACTAGTCTTACCACTAATGAAGTGTGCGGTCATGGGCAAAAATCATTTAACTTCTCTGGACCTCGATTCTTTATTTGTAGACAGGGGAGGGGGTACAAGTTTAGACACCCAGAAAGCCCAGGAATTTGAAGACCCTGCCAATTTGTTCACTGCTGTGTGCCTAAGCATGTGGTAGGCACCTGATACATTTTTGTCACATGAAGTTCCCTCTATGATATAAGTATGATTAGTGCATTTCCTTAATTTTTCAATACAACACTTTTCATAAAACTGCATTTGCTAATGAAAGTTGAACTCATACATTTAAAGGAAGCTTTGTTTTCCTCACTGCATGGTGATACTGAAAGAGTATAGTGTGTGGTATAGTTATTATAATAGTCCATTTTTGAAAATAGTATTGATTAGGAAGGAGGTGCTTCTTCTTGAGAAAATGTCCTAGGCAGGATCCTTGAAAGCAGGTGAAATTAACTTAGAAGAAAAATTTGAACTAGTTGACTCTTTAATAATATGGATCTGAACTGTGTGGATTCACTTGTATCTGTAATTTTTTGATAGTAAATACAGTGGTAAAGAATCTGCCTGCCAATGCAGGAGACGTGGGAGATTCAGGTTGAGGAAGATGCTGGGTCTAAATGATCCCCCAGAAGGAAATGAGAGCACACGCCAGTATTCTTGCTTGGGAAATCCATGGTCAGAGGAGCCTGTCGGGCTACAGTCTATGGGGTCACAAAAGAGTCAGACACAACTTACCGACTAAATAGCAACAACTGTGGGGACTGCTGGGGTAGGAGATGGGGGCCCGGTTGACCCCAGGTGGGGGGAACTAAGATCCGGAAAGCCTCGTGGCTCGGCCAAAGAGAAAAAATACATACATACGTATTGTGATACTACACGAAATGGAAATGCAAAACTTGGGGTATAGAAGAACCCATTGTGTGGACAATAAGTTATATGTGGATTTTTCACTGAATGAAAGGTCCTCGACCCTGATCCCCTCATTGTTTCAGGGTCAACTATACACTGAGGGATTTTTGTAACACAAATAGAATATATGTGTTGGTGGTGTTATCGTTCTGTTTTGCTGGTGACGTTTGTATCACCTACTCACTTTGTTGAAACCCACATTCTTTTCTTTAGTGAACTACACTGACTCATACTTACTCTATATATACACTTGTCATCTCTCATTTGCAAGCAGGCCCTGCACACACATGTGGAAGGCACTGCTAGCAGTCCTTTCTCTTGAACAGAGTTTAAGCCAATGCTGTTTTTTTCCTGAGGTTTCACTGAGTGAAATGCTAATACTAAAGTTTAAAAAAACTCATTATGGGAAAATTTAAATGTTTTAAAAAGTAAAAAAAAAAAAGGAGGGAATTCCCTGGTAGTCTGGTGGTTAGGACTGTGTACTTTCACTGCTGAGCCAGGTTCAGTCCATGGTCAGGGAACTTAGACCCTGCAAGCCTCTAAGTGCAGCCAAAAATAAAAATAAAAGTGAAAAATAAAGATTAAAAAGACTGACCATACCATGTGTTGGTGAAGTTGTGAAACAACTCGCATTCTCTGTATACTGCAGTGGGAATTTCATAGATGCTGTTTTTCAAGTTGAGGTTATTCCCTTCTGGTTTGTTGAGTGTTTTTACTGTGAAGGAGTGTTGAATTTTTTGGATGCTTTTTCTGCATCTATTGAGATGATCATGTGGATTTTGTCTCTTGTCGTATCAAAATGGTGTTTTATATTAATTGATTTTCAGATATAAATCAATCATGCATTTTTGGAATTAATCCCACTTGGTCATAGTATATAATCATTTTTTATGTGTTACCAGATTCCATTTGTTAGTATCTTGTTTAGGATTTTTGCATGTATATTCATAAGAGTTATCTGTCTTTTATTTTCTGGTGATGTCTTTGCTTTTTGTATGAGAATAATACCTTATTGGTTAGTGTTCCTCAATTGAGATGAATGTGTTTTTATTTCTCCCTTTATTTATGTGGTGTACCATATTTATGTATATATGTATGTAATGTTGAATCACTCTTACATTCTTGGAGTAAATCCCATATGGTCATGGAGGATAATGTTTTTAACATGTTGGTTTCAGCTTGCTAATATTTTATTGAGAGTTTTTACATCTGTGTTCATAGGGGATATTGGTACCTAGTTTTCTTTTTTTGTGATGTCTTCAGCTGGCTTTGGTATCAGAGTAATGCTGGCATAATAGAATGAGTGAGGAGTGTCCCTACTCTCCTGCTTTTTGAAAGAGTTTGTGTAGGAATAGTATTAATTTTTCTTTAAATTGATGATAGAATTTGTCACTAAAACAATCTAGCTTTTCTTTCTTGGAAGGTTTCTGATTATTGATCAGTCTCTTGTTATAACAAGTCTGTTTTGATTTTCTATTCTTACTGAATCAGTTTTGGTAGTTTGTGTCATTTTAGAAATTTGTTCATTTTGTCTAGGTTATTAGGTTGTTAAGTATAAAGTGGTTCATGTGAGTGTGTGCTCAGTCTGACTCTTTGGTGACCCTATGTTCTCTAGCCCACCAGTATCCTCTGTCCATGGGATTTCCCAGGCAAGAATACTGAAGTGGGTTGCCATTTCCTTCTCCAGGAGATCTTCCTGACTCAGGGGTCAAATCCACATCTCTTGCTTGGCAGGCAGATTCTTTAACATTGAGTCATTTAGGAATCACATAATTGTTCATAGCATTCCCTTATAACCTTTTTTGTTTCTGTAAGACTGGTGGTACTGACTTTTCCTTTACTCTTTTCTATTTATTTCTTTGGCTCTGAGGGACTTAGTTGTCGCATATGGAATCTAGTTCCCTGACCAGGGATTGAACCTGGGCCTCTTGCATTTGGGAATCAGAGTCTTAACCACTGGACCATCAGGAAAGTCCCTCTTTTACTCTTGATTTTAGTAATTTGTGTCTCTCTTTTTCTTAGTCAGTCTAGCTAAAAGTTTGTCAATTTTATCAACTTTAGCATCATCTCATAAATTTTGGTATTGTGTGTTTTCATTTTTATTCATTTCAAAGTATTTTTAAATTTTCCTTTGTGGTCTGCTCTTTGAGTCATTGGTTATTTAGAAGTATGCTGTTAAATTTCAACATATTTGTGAATTTATCAAATGCCTTTCTGTTACTAATGCCTAATTTCATTGCATTTGGTCAGAGATCGTATTTTGTATGATTTCAATCCTTTTAAATTCATTGAGGCTTGTTTTATGGCCTAACATGTGGTCTGTCCTGGAGAATGTTACATGTGCACTTCAGAAGACTGTGTATACTGATGTTATTGGGTGGAAGATGCTATAGATGTCTGTTAGGTCTCATTAGATTATAGTTGTTCAGGTCTTCTATTTTCCTTTTGATCTTCTACTTGTTGTTCTGTCCATTATTGGGTAATGGGTAGTTTTTGTTTCATGTATTTTGGCCTCTGTTTTTAGGTGCATGTGTTTGCTCAGTGTGTCTGACTCTGATCCTTTGGACTGTAGCCCACCAGGCTCCTCTGTCCATGGGGATTTTCACACAAGAGTATTGGAGTAAGTTGCCATTTCCTCCCTCCAGGGGAACTTCCCCACGAAGGGATTGTACCTGCACCTCCTGAGTCTCCTGCATTGCAGGTAGATTCTTTACTGCTGAGGCATTGGGGAAGCCCATAAGTGTGTATTTCTTGTTCAGTTGCTCAGTTGTGTCCGATGCTTTGTGACCCCGTGGACTGCAGCATGCCAGGCTTCCCTGTCCTTCACCATCTCCCTGGGCTTGCTCAAACTCGTATCTGTTGAGTCAGTGAGACCATCCAACCATCTCATCCTCTGTTGCCCCCTTCTCCTCCTGCCTTCAGTCTTTCCTAGCACCAGGGTCTTTTCCAGTGAGTCAGTTCTTCTCATCAGGTGGCCAAAGTATTGGATATTCAGCTTCAGCATCAGTCCTTCCAATGAATATTCAGGG